AAATTTGAATAATGTTTACATCAATTATTAAATTAAAATCAAAAAAATAAAAAAAAAAAAACATAATAAAAAATATATATATATTTATGTATTAAATATAAATAGAAATTAAAATTTTATTATAGAAATTTTTTTTAAAAATTAAATATAAAAATGAATAAAAATTATAAAAGACTTATTATTATATTTAATAAATGTTATTAAAATAGATTTATTTTTTATCATATAAAATTTATATTTTTTAGTAAAATTAAATTAAATTTTAAAATAAATTTGTTAATAAAGTATTAAAAAAACTTATTGTTTTTTTTTTAAAAAATATTTTTAAAATTTTATAACAAACAAATATTTATTTAAAGATATTTTAGATAAACTATAATAAAGGTTTAAAACAAAGAAAAAAATTAAAAAAAATAATAATAATTTAATTATTATAAATAAATAAATATTTTTTGTTATTATTTTATATAAAAATTTAATTTGTTATTATATTTAAAAAATTATATATTTGGTAAAAACAATTTTATTCATAATAATATTTAAACAAATATAATATTTGATAAATTAATTAAAAAAATATATTGCATATTTTAAAAATATTAAAAATATTAATTTTAATTTAATTATATATTATATTGCTTTATTATTTTTTTTGAACTAAATAGCAATTAATTGAATTTTTACTTTTATGGAATTACTATTATAGCAATTTTATAAAAATATTTAATTAATATTATCTTTCTTTACTAAAAAAAAGTTTAATACAAGACTTGAAAATTAATTTACCTATATTAATTTTTATTAATTATTGAAGTAATAAAAAAAAGTTATTAAAATTTTTATATTTTATTTATTGTATATTATTATATTATTATATTATTTTTTATATTATAATTGTTATATTATTAATTCAATTATTTTTACAATAGTATTTAAAAAAACAAAAATAAAATAATAAAATAAAATTTTGTTTTAAAAAAAAAATTTTTTTAATCTTTTAAAAATTGATTTTAATTTTTAATTAACTTGCTATTTGCTTTAAGTAAAATTTTGTTTTATTTATAATAATTGTAAATAATAAGATTTTTATAATTTATTTTTTATTTTAAAAATTATATAAACATATTAAAATAATAGTTGAATATTAATTAATTATAAACTTTTAAATGTATATTATATGTAAATTATTTTTTTTTTTTATATTTAAATTTAAAAACTTTTAAATTTATAAACAAGTATTTTATTAACTATTATATAAGTTTAATATGGATACAAATATATTCAATAATAAATATAACAAATCAATTTTTCAAGTAAAAATATATGTATAATAATAAAGATAAGTGTTTTTTTTTAAAAAAAATATATATAATTTGACTTAATCAAATTTTATTACCTTTATTTTTTTTTAACAAGTTTATTATAAATTTTTTTTTCTAGTAGTTTTAATAATAAATATCAAAAACTAAAAAAGTCAATTAAAATTTAATTTCTTTAAAACGTTTTAATTAAAAAAAAATTTTTTTTTATTATATAACAATTACAATGTACAATCCTTTTATTTATTTATTTATTTGAATACTGACGTGCGCCTGGCTTATTGGTGGTTATAGGCAATTGAATTTAACCAAAAGTTTTATTATATAAATTTTAAATGTTTTTAAAAACATAATTATTTAATAAAAACAAACAGTTTACTAAAGGACAAACTGTAAAAATAATGATTTTTGTTTTTGATTCGTATTTAATTTTCGATTTTTTAAATCAAAGGAAGTATATACAACAACATGATTTGATCCTTTTTTTTTGAAGACAAATAATAAAAGAATAAAATATTACAATAACATTTTGTGATTTTTTTCTAAATATGTACACATTCAACACATTTTTTTTACGTAAATTTCCCCACTCGATGAAACCAAATAACCCAATAAAAACGTCGAACGGTAATTTCGTCTTGGGAGAGCATTTCCAGCATCGAGGTAATATTAACTCAAAGTCACATATAAAAAGTGACAATGCCCATTATATGAGTGTTTCCTCTACCAGACTGCATTGGACAGTGTATAGCGTGTTCAAGGTCATTGGGTTTATTCCCAAATGATTATCGATTGGTGATTCTTCAAATGGGGGCGTGATTATGATAACTGGGCCAAGTGGATATTGTACTTCAAGATCGGTCATTTGCTCTTTGCCTGGATTCAGTGAGTTCATCGCTCGAATAGATTGCATTATTGAAATAAAAGAATTTGAAATTCCTCTTAAGAGAAAATAAACTTTGAACTTGTACAGTATATATATTGTATGTACATCAGATATACATATGATCGTGTAACTTGTCATTACATATGTAATTTCCATTCGAATTGATAAATTTGGTGTTTCTTATGCCCTTCATTGCAAATGCCCGACTCCATTAAGTGTACTCCCTTCGATGTTCCACGAAATGGCATTTCTAATGGTAAACCATCATTACCGTTTTAAATAAGTTATTTGTGGCGAAATGCATCTCGAATGATAAATCTGCAATCTAATTAACAGTAACGAGTACAAAGTTTAAAAACATACACGTATTTAAGTATATATTCACATTATGTATAATAAAGTATCTGCTGAAGGTCTCAATTAATTTGTATTGTAACTGAAATCAAGAAAGAAAATCAAGAAAGAGACCGTTGGTCCACTTCTTAAAAAATGAACAATTTATACAGGACATGCCATCATTTTTTCGGCAGTTTCCAGTATGTGTAGTTTGTATAAAAATATATACGTTCGTAGGTCGACTTGTATGCATTCAATCAATCGCAAGCGCATTTAATCAAAATACATATCTTTATTGTGTATGTTACAAATGATCAACGTACAGTACAAGTATTTCATAGATCAAATCATATATAGTCAGTATTAAACATATTTTCATGTGCGTACACATCACTATATATGCCAAACCTTTTAAGATTAGTGTTTTAAATTTTCCACGACCGGTGATTTCTCCGATAAAGCCGTGTCGCTGAAGGAGCGTCAGGCTGGAAACATGTCACATGAAAATATCCGAGATTTTATATTCTAATGCCAGTTAGCAGGGAATGCTAGATGACCATCCCCGAAATATTCGGAATCAACTTCAATGCTAGAATTTTCAAGTTGTGGGATGAATTGAGTATTATGTTCCTGTCGATACTCACATGCATTCAAAGGATATACTATATCATGTCGAAGGGTGAACGGCATGTTATGACCTACACGGTAGGTATTAGGAAATTCACACCAATTCCCATGTTGAGAAGTGAATGATATATCTCGTTCTTGCCGTTTAGCGCTATGTGTAAGTGGGAGTATGCTTTGGTCCTCAAAATGTTCCATAGTTATTGGGAAAATTTGGTGGTTGTAATTAGCGTCATTGTTCATCATGGGATAGTTCTCATGTTGAAAGGTGGGCGCCACATTTTGGCCTTGCTGGTCAAACTTGTCAACTGTGGATATGGGGGTATGTTTATACGGATCCACCAAGGGAAATCTTTGTTCATAATCGACGACGTTAACGTTAAGAACTGATAAACTCCCATGTTGTGTGTTATTTTTCCAATGATTTGGGTCATTCTCGATGACAGCGGGAGCCTTTGTCATTAAAATGGGTCTTGTCTTATTGTTATTTTCATAAAAGCCACGAGCATATCTACGCATTCTTCTTTTAAATTTCTTACTGCAACTACGCCACAGCACCGATGTCATTGTTGAGATATCTTTATTTGGTATTCGCGATACTTTCTCTTTGTCGGACGACTTTTGAAAATATTTTTGCACGTATGAACGGAAAATAATATACGAATTGGCGTTCTGATACTGTAATTCTCTTTTATTTGGTAGCAAAAAGAAACATGGTTTGCCTTGATGTATAAAACAAATGCCAATCGACCCGTCGAGATTTTCAATGAACGAAGGAGTTTCGTTACTCATTTGAAACAATTTTGTGAGAATGAATAAATTTTCTGCTCCCTTCAATCCGAGTATTTATACGTAAAGGGAAACATAAAAATTAGACTTCTAATAACAAGAAAACGTTACAAATACATACTAATTCTATTCCTAAGTTTGTTGAAAATCTATCATTAAATTTGGAAACCTTCAGGATGTAATTGGTCCTTCGTTTTTTTTTGGGCGAGGAAAAGCAAACTTATCACATAATGATTTTTTGATGCCCGACAAATTTCCCAACTTTGAAAATGAGTCAAACGGTGTCCCTTGTTCATAAGAGTAAGCTTTGGAAATTTCTCTGTTAAGTCATATGATTTCCATGTACGAAAAATAGTTATTATTATTATTATTATTATTCGATGATAAATTCATTGCAAAAAGATGATTTATGTAAAGTGAACATTAAGAAATTCGAAGGGAATAAACTTACAAGTTGTGTACGTGCAAGAACAATTTTTTACTGCATCTTTGAAATTTATGAAACACATTCAAAACCAAGCGAGAAATCTTTTCTAACGAAAACGATACCTTTTCTGTTATAATTTTTAAACAGCATTCTTACCATCACTTGTAAACATGCTTAAACCAACTAGTACTGTATTCTTTAACAGTGTCTCCCCACGTAACTACGAATAAATGAAAGATCTGACGAAAATTTAATCCAAGAGATTTTATTCGATTGCCCAGATATTTATTAGAGGACCACTTGTTCCATCTTTCCGACATACAACAGAATTTACTAGTCAATAATAACAAAGTAAAAAGGAATCTATGAACGAAAATGATAAAATGTTGGCATTTAAACAAAGCTAAGAAGAAATCCTCGGAATGTTGAAAGCAAATAAACTACATATAAGGAAATTCGTGATCTTCCGGAAATTCCATATCCACTTTGAACTCCGGACTCTTAAACTCTTAAATACCCTTGGTCTCCTACATTCTCTTAAGCCTTTTTTCGTATTTCACAAAATTACCACGACATTCTTATCATATATACTCTTTATAGGAAGGCTTGTAACTTATATCAGAAATTTTACCTCAGATACGAAACGTGGACGCTTAGATGCATCAATTTTATGTACGCTTGATAGGTCAACTTTATGACCCTAGGGTACGTCGCATTACGTCGCATTCCTTGGCGTGTCAATTTTACGTACGTCAACTTATTCGACAAAAAAAAAAAGCGTAACAATTTCCGAAATGCGTGTTACCCGCACTGTAGTGGAACAGCGCGAATGAGGTAATTTTAATGAATGCTACCGACCTAATGGCTATTGCAATGGATAACATGACGCTTGTGTAATTGTGTGGGTAAGATTGTTTATCAACGCTTTCTTACTTTTTAGATCGAATGGCAAGTCGTAATGGCAATTTTAATGAATTGCGACCGACCTAATGGTTATTGCAATGGATAACATGACGCTTGTGTAATTGTGTGGGTAAGATTGTTTATCAACGCTTTCTTACTTTTTAGATCGAATGGCAAGTCGTAATGGCAATTTTAATGACTAGTAGCAGTTGAAATTTTTGGAAATGATAAGAAAAGTGGGAATGATGGGAATGGTGAAAATGATCCAATTTTGGGAAATAACACGGTTTTTGGAAATTGATGAAAGAGATACCCAAAGTTTAATAGCATATATATTAGTCGGTACAGTAAGCACAGTTAATTATAAGTAAAAACTTCGATCGGGCTCTTCGTTTTTTTTTATAAAAAGAACAGGATTTGATTGTAATGAACGGTACTTTCCCTTCAGAATTCTTAAAGGAATAGTCCGTAGAATTTTGTTCGCTTAACAATGATTAAAGAAACAAACCATTATCAATCGATCACTCTCTTCTTTACTTATAATGAGGAAAAGGTTTCCTTTATTTTTCCAGAAAATAAGAACATTCAGAAAACAAGTGAAACAAACGGGTTTATCTTCTTTCGTATTCATTTACAAAAATTCCTTCAAGGCCTATCTGACAAAAAACTGGTGCCACGGCCGGTTAATCCAAAAGTTTCATCTTTGGCCGGAGAACTTTGGAGGAACAACAAAGATAGCCTGGAAAAAATCATCAGTAATCTTTACCCTACTGAATCAAGTACTAATAACTTGGAGCAAAAATGGTTGTCTATGCCTAGGTATCATGAATTTGATGGACAAACGCTAAGCGCACCTCAACACGAGTACGATCTGCCGTTAAATTACCCGACTCTTGGTGATCAATTTTTGCCACCAGGCTATCTGCCCAATGCGCAACCCCCATGTATTCCTGAATGTACTCCACATCCAGGCATTGACACCCTACGTATTCCTGAGGAACCCATGGAATATACTCCACATCCAGACATTGGCTTCTCGCATCCCCCATTCATGCCTCATGAAAATACCATTTCACCGTCAGAATTCATCTCACTACCTACAACTGATAACTACAATCAATATTTGCCCGAGATTCCACTACCAGACGTCAATACCTGGAATTTATTTCCTGATCTGTCCGAAGAACAAGTACTTCTAAACGAAGGACATATTCTACCGTCGGATGTCGACTATTACCCTAACAGTGAGATTCTCTCTGAACACAATTACGAGGGTTTTTTTCCATTAGAGGTTGATGGATATACTTATGAGAACGACTTTTACCATTTACTCTGAAATTCAGTTGAATCCAATGAGTGAAGGTAATTTTGTAAAAGTGGGCCCAAATGTATTTTAGCCGGGCTAATATATAATGTGGGCCAACAAGACGTGTAAAACAAAAGTTCTTCGTTTGTATTATATAATAATGTACCATACAATATTATCATAATGCACAAAAAAAACAAGCAATGTACAATACAATAAAAATTTCCATTATTACAAATTATAAATGTTGTCTGTAATCGTAACTCTTCGCTCGAATCTATAATTCTTGTTAATTGTTAATAAATTTTCATGTGCAGAAATCATTAAAACGGGATCAATATGAAATATAAAATTGATAATTACTGGAGTCGAACGTATATAGGACTTACTTAAATTAGATGACATAAACAAATACGTAATTAAATCAAAATCGATCAAATTAAATAAAATCAAATAATATTTGATCATTCCACGATAAAAAAACCCATGGTTTTTATTAACTAAATATTTTTTTCTTTTTCTAATCATCATCAAAATATACAGCATTATATTTTTATTCGTAAATTGTTTTTAAATCTTAAAACTATCATCATTTATTATCAAAGTAATTTTATAATGAAATTAAAAAAATATATTTTTTTTATTAATAAGAAATTCTTGTTTTAGATTAGATGTATTCATAAAAAATAGTTTTAATACTATATCAATATCTGTTTAATTAAATTATTTTTCAAAATCTTATGTTTTATATATTTGAACATACAGTGGTGAACAAAAATACTTGCACTATATATATATATTTATTTTTTATAATATTTTAATAACTAATTGATAAAATAAGATAAAATTTATATTAATATATATTTAAGAATATAAAAAACAGGTTTACTTAATAAAGCTTTTAAAATACAGTATATTATTAAAATTTTCTTAAATTTTAATTTAAAAAAATAATTGATTTTAGTTACATTACAAAATAGAAATAATAAAAATTATTAAAATTATTTTAATGCATATATTT